TTTTTTTTTTTTTTAGCCTATCCAATTGTCGTACAAATATTCAGTATAATGTATGAATATTTATATACAAATTACAAAATCCAAAATTTCTATTCCCTAAGAAATTTATCTAAAATATAATAATTTATTAAAATATCCATAATAATGCAAGATAGTCCAAAGTTTATATAGAAATTATATAAATTATAAAGTTCAAACTTAAAAATATGCATCATAAAAAGTCCTCGATTTACAAGAAAGATCACATTGCAATAAGATCACCAGTCCACTTAGTCACCAATATCAAATAATCAAGAAGTCACCAAACACTGATCATTGAAATATGATACTGCAATAAGATCAGGATTTATAAAGATATCTAAACAAAAAAGGGAAAAAAGAAAAAAAGAAAAAAATATAGTTAAATTTCTTCTCCACCAGAAAAATCAAATAATTAACAATAAGGATAAAAAAATTAGAAAACAAATAATTACAAGGTTGAGACTTCCTCTGACAGAGATCTGATTTGAGATGACAAGAGAGGAGATAAGGGAGATGAGAAACGCCGAATGATATGAAAATATGAAGGATTGTCAGAGGAGATAGTGGCTCCCATTAGAGGAAATGAGAGGAGAAGAGGAGGAATGGAGAAAACTGAGCGGTGGTGTGGCGATGGAGCTGCTGCAGTTTTTGAAAATTTCTAATTATATTATGTTTAAATTTTTTATTCATGGTTTTTGTAGTTTACCATGGTTTTAATCGAACTAAAACCACTTATTGTGGATTAATGGAAATCCAATCCAATACAAGATCAAACTTTTAAAAATCCAATCCAACCCCATTTATTGGGTTGAGTTGGTCTGAATTATGGTTTTACCTGAATCAAGTTGCACCTCTACTGTTTGATAAATCTAATATGGTTAACTAGTTTGGTCTGTATGTATAAAAGATGTGCATAACTTTGTTCTTTTCGTTAACCAGATTGAGAGCACCTTTGTATATGTTGGCATCAGTTTTTCTATCATCACGTATGCCATGCTGCTTATTGTCAATTTTTTTTGGTAGTTTGAAATTCTTCTGCAAAAAGAAAATAGTGCTGAAGTTAATTAGTTTTATGCATGGTGAAATATTTCATAGGCTAACATGGAAATAGCTACTCTGCCTCCGAACACGATTGTACCAGAAGTTCTTGAAGAATATAATTATGAAAGGTGGAGCATTTTAATAAAACACTACTTAGTGGCTCAAGATGTTTGGGATGTTGTTGATCCAAGCCCGACGAATGAAGAAATAAATGAGAGGGTGTGGAATAAAAAGAATGCTTTATCTCTACATGCCATTAAGATTTCATGTGGAGCAAAGGCGTTTAATCTAATAAAGAACATAGAGTCAGCCAGAGACGCTTGGCAGGAATTACAAAAAAGGCAGAATGTCCCAGGCGGTCATTACTTCCCCAGGCGACACGAATTTGTCCCTCGGGAGATGGCCACGCCCAGCGAAAGAGGTTTTATTCCATCTCTCTCTGTTTTTTTTTTGGCCAAAATTCATCTCTGTGTTCGAGTTCGCTATTATTTCAGCATTTGTTATTATAGAGAGACTGCTGAACAGTTCACTTTTTTGAGGTCCTGGCTTAGATCTAGCTAATGTTTTGTGTTTATTAATTTTCGGAGCTTAGATTGTTTTTTCTGATTTTAAATCTTGCAGCAGTCTTGAGCTTAATTAGTTACGATATTCATTCATGTGTGCCAGTGTGTGGTGTTGAGATCGATCTTTTGTTTGTAGCCTGCCGGATTTTATAGGGAGAGGCCAAATGAAAAAGGTTTTCCTCCTACTGCATTTCAAAGAACGTTTTGCCGTTTCACCTACTGCAGGCAGAACATTTTTTTTTTTTAATTTATCAAACTTGTGCCATTAAATTACATGTTAGTAATATAATAAATGTATTTTTTATAATAAATTTATGTAAAAATTATAAAATAGATATTTATTTTAATATTATTATTATATAAATAATTTTAATTGATTAATTAATTAAATTAAAATCAATATTTATAATTTTTTATATAAATTAATTAAAAAATGTAATAAATATATTAGGCACATAATAAAAAAAATTTTTTTGTCATAAGCCCAACACGTCTTTCTTTTAAAGAAAAGTGGGTACCATGTACACCAGAAATGAGCCGAATCACAAGCACTTCTCTTGTTATTGAATCCTTTCATTTTTTCAGTTTTTTAGATTAAAAAAAAAAATACTAAGCCAATCAAGGTCCAAGTGCTAGTTACGCTTGGCAAAGGCATTTCTCTTGGAATAGTTTGGAGAACTTTAAATTTTATTTTTCCAATATTTACCGTTGGCATAAATTTATCTATTTTATCAATCTGGAAATCATAGGTATATATTCAGTTTAACATTTCTTTTATTTCAATTATTAAAATATAATATGAATATAGTCAATTATTGTATTATATATATGATTACATTTTTAAATTTATATATTTTAAATTTTAGACAAAAAAATAATTTTTTAATAAATCTGTTATGCAATGTATTAAATTAGAGTATATATGCCAATTACTATCCAAAATTAAAGTAAATCGTCGCTAAAAATCAGCCTTAATTAAGCAACGCAATTATTTTTTTTGTTAAACTATTGTTCTTGGAGTTTGATAAAAAGTTGATGTTCACCGTTAAATTTTGATTATTTTTTTTAAATAAAATGTTTGGATGGTGATTTAGTTTTACTCTTTTTATTGAGTACTAATTTACTTTAATTTAAAAATATTAAGGAGCCATTTGCTCATTTTGCCTTATCAATCTCTATAAAGAGGTGACTGAGTGTTTGTTATTTATTTATTTGTGTGTAAATTGAGCGTAATGTTTACATTTCCAAAATCGTGCTTTGCCCAACTGTGGAGGCTAAGAATACCAACGCCATTGCTTTACATTCATTATTGACAGAGCAGCTAAGTATTTTGCATGAGTCCATTTGTAAAGGGAGTAAAAGGAGAGTAAAGCGAGCCGTCTGCTTGCTGAATATAACAGATGATATGCTGAATATAACAGATGATATGCTGAAAATAAGAGATGATAGGAATAGGATTATATTAAAGCCTGCCCTTCATGCTGCAATTACCGCTGGCCAGGAGGACATAGCATGCTTCCTCTACCGAAAGACTCCTTTAGAATTTTTACATGGAGACTATGGCTTCATTCTTCTTCAAGAGTGTGTAACTAAGAAAATGTTTAGTAAGAGCTCTAATTATCATTTCTTTTCTTTCTCTTTGCTTTATAATTGTAATTTTACTTTTTTCTAACAAAACTTTTTGAGATCAGAAATTGCATGGGATTTACTCCACCAATTTCCAAAGTTGGCAACTACAGTACCCTCTCAGGGTTACATGCCAATCATTTTAACAGTTGCTAAAACACCACCTCCATTCTACAGAAGAAGTAAACTTGAATTTGTGAGATTGTGGATATATCGTTGTTAGTATTGCTTCTCCCTTCACATTTACATATCTTACTTAATTTTGCTTCTAATCTATTTAATTTAATTATGAATAATAATTAATACATTATTCGGTTCAATATATTTTACAATGTATTTATTAAGAAATTATTATTTTAAAATTTAAATTAAATGTGAGGATGCTTTAATGGTTAAATTAATTAGTTATTAATAGGTGTATTCAATTAAAGGATGTATCATAATTTTTTTTAATTATTTATTAAATTTGGATTCCTAATTACTTTCATACCCCTAGAAATAAATTTTTTTGGGTTTTGCCATATCTTTCTCAATTTGTTTTCCGATTTGTTCTTCTGGACTGATTTAGTCTATTAATTAACTGCTATTTTTTTTTTTAATTATAATTGTAATTGAAGGCATAGAAGTAAATGTAGAATTAATCAAACCAAGCGCTGCGGCTGATGATGCCTCAGAAGAAGAACCCTCGTGTTATCAATCTTGTCTTCAATTCCTAAGTATATATTCTTCTACATGTGTATTTTCAATAGTTCTTTCTTTATTATTTTATTCCCTCTGATGACTTTCGTAGAGTTAGTTGGGTCTTTTTTTGTTCTTGTACCGTAGTTAGAGGCAATCCTTTTAGATAAAAGATAACGATCATAGAAAGGTTGTTGTTTCATTCTTTCTCATTCCTCATTTATTTTTTTATTTGAAAGGTGATATTGACTGAAATAAAAAATGACTGAAATAAATGATACGTCAAGTTGTTTTAAAATTATTGCAGCAACGAAACTCATTCTTTCGAAATCCTAATTACATTTCGTTCATTTGCAGAGGCACTACCACGCCAGTCGGTTACACTTCTTTTAGAGACCCTTGGTAAGCAACAGCGTCTCCGCAAAATTAACTATTGATCAGAGTTTGCTTGGTTTGGTAGACGTAGTTATTACTCGGTCAAATTTTATTTTACTATATTGTAAAATTTTTAAAATTTTTTAATAAATTTTCAATAAATACTAAATAAATCTTT